CTGTCGACATATGATAGAGACCATGAAATTTTCCAGCACAGTGACAAACTAAACATACAATGAATAGAGAAAAACTAAACATACATGGCCCAAACAAAACAGAGATTGTAATTTATCTAATCCCACGTAAAATCTGCAGTATGTATGTATGTATGTATGTATGTATGTATGTATGTATGTATGTATGTATGTATGTATGTATGTATGTATGTATGTATGTATGTATGTATGCATGCATGTGCGTGCGTGCGTTCGTCCAGTCTAGTATTGTCAATTTGCAAACATAAAGTTCAAAAGTATATTTGGTTTGGAATAGTACACTCACTATATTCAAGCATTAAGTGAAACATTGTAGTAACACCGATAACAACCACATAAACAATAAAAGAAATACAATTAACATTGCTAATAGCTGCGGAATTTTTTTCTAAAGATATTAGTAATTCACGTATCAACAAATATCGTTGAAATTGTTTCTAGGAATCTTGACTTCAGGCCAGATTATAGTAATGTTATACTGCTAGATAGTCTTTCTGTACTATTCTATTATTGCTGTTTAGTGTAGATGCCTCATCCAGGTAGAGAAGCATCTGGTATCAATTTTACCTCTTCCCCAGTATGCCCAGCATGGTCCAAATTTCTGACAGGGGTTATTTTATTATCTTTTCTTCTGACTTTCATATCTCAATTACACAATAACACATCAATAGAGCAAAGTATTTTTTCCTCACAAATATAATTGTTAATGATACTAACGGATATTATCCAATGTCGAATACTATATACACTATATATGCATTTGTTTCTGTAGAAAACGTTGTTTCACAATTTTCATTGTCGTTAAATCTTTAATGTGCAATTCTTGTGAATCTCCATCTCAGATTGTGTCGAAATGCATACATACATACATACATACATACATACATACATACATACATACATACATACATGCATGCATGCATGCATCCATGCATACATACATACATATATATATATATATATATATATATATATATATATATATATATATATATATATATATATATATATATATCCATCCATCCATACATATATATATATATATATACACACATACATATACGCATGCACGTACGCACGCTGAATTCATTCATACATACATGCACACATACATACATACATACATACATACATACATACATACATACATACATACATACATACATACATACATACATACATACATACATGCAAACATACATACATACATACATACCTACATACATACATACATACACACACAAACATACATACATACATACATACATACATACATACATACATACATACATACATACATACATACATATATACGTACGTACGTACGTGAGTACTTACATACACACACATACATACATACATGCATGCATACATACATACACATATACATACATACATACATACATACATACATACATACATGCACACATGCACTCATACGTGCATGCGCGTACGCACGCTGCATTCATACATACAGACACACATACATACATATATACATACATACTTACATACGTAAACACATATATACATACAAACATACATACATACATACATACATACATACATACATACATACATACATACATACATACATGCATACATACGTGCGTACATACATACATACATACATCCATCCATCCATCCATCCATCCATCCATACATACATACGTACGTGCGTACATACATACATACATACATACATACATACATACATACATACACACATACGTACACACATACATACATACGTACGTGCGTAGATACATATACATACATACATACATACATACATACATACATACACACATGCACTCATACGCGCATGCACGTACGCACGCTGCATTCATACATACATACATGCATACATACACACGCATGCATATATACACACAAACATACATACATACATACACACATGCACTCATACGCGCATGCACGTACGCACGCTGAATTCATACGTACATACATACATACGTACGTACACACATACATTCATGCGTACATACATACATACATTCATACATAGGTAAATAAGTGCGTACATACATACATACATACATGCATACATACATACGTACACACATACATTCATGCATACGTACACACATACATACATACATACATACATACGTACGTGCGTACATACATACACACATACATTCATGCATACGTACACACATACATACATACATACATACATACATACATACATACATACATACATACACACACGTACACACATACATACATACGTACGTGCGTACATACATACATACATACATACATACATACATACATACATACATACATACATACATACATACATACATACATACATACATGCATACATATATATATATACATACATACATACGTACGTGAGTACTTACATACACACACATACATACATGCATGCATACATACATATATACATACATACACACACATACATACATACATACATACATACATACATACATACATACATACATACATACATACATACATACATACATACATACATACATACATACATACATACGTACACACATACATACATACGTACGTACTTGCGTACATAGATGCACATACATACATACATACATACATACATACATACATACATACATACATGCGTACGTACGTACGTACGTACGTGCATGCATGCATGCATGCATGCATACATACATACATACATACATACATACATACATACATACATACATACATACATGCACACATGCACTCATACGCTCATGCGCGTACGCTCGCTGCATTCATACATACACACACACACATACATACATACATACATACATACATACATACATACATACATACATACATACATACATACATACATACATACATACATACACTTGTGCCAGCCTGCATAAAGCGGCGCACCTTATTACGAAAGCTAAATCTAAAGACCACATTTACATTGCAATAAATAAAGATTCCCTATGGCCCTCTTCATACGAATGCCTTATACAATAGTCTGCTGAGTGGTATTATATCCTGCCTTGAAAGAACTGACCACATGTATATAAAAATCAAGTTCTTCGCTCACGTGTATAATGTAAGCAAACATAATAATAATAATAATAATAATAATAATAATAATAATAATAATAATAATAATAATAATAATAATAATAATAATAATTGATACTACTACTACTACTACTACTACTAATAATAATAATAATAATAATAATAATAATAATAATAATAATGTAAGTTGTAGTAGCAGATGGTTTGTTTTACTTGTCAGTTGTTTAATCGATCAGAAATTTAATACTGCAAAATATTTTTTCATTTCCAATATAATTCAGGTGACATAAAAATGAAAAGGATAGCAGGTCATTACAGTATTTCAATATGGCGACCATTACTCATACAAAAATTTAACATGGTCACACATTATTCATACAAATTTGTATCCAGGTCATTACAATATTTCAACATGGTTACATATTTCTCAAAGAAATTATGTTTAGGTTTTTATAAAATATCAACATGGTGACAGATTATTCTACAAATTATGTCCTGGGCTAACATCTTCCATTTTACGGAAATCTGTACGAAGAACCATGTGAATGCACTGGGATCGCGGGTATACTGTAAGTGTGAAGGGCATTCATTACAATTGGACAGTAATATAATGTAGTTCTCTCAAATAATGCCAGACAATAAACTAATTGAAGAGCTTGGGGATTCTGCCTTCTCGTCGAGAGTTTCCAATAATAATCTGGTTTAAATCTTATCCAGTAAAACAGATAAGCCTTCCATGGACGGATAAGCCTTCGACCGACATAATCCTGGAGGAAATTCCCATATACAGCAGTCATATATGGTTGTGGGAGCTACACTGACTGTTGGTACCGGAATTCAGATTTCTGACAGAGATTTAATCGTTAACTGTGAAACGGAAAAATCTCCATTGACATGATGAGAAGTAGAGCGATGTGCCAGAAATGACAAAAGTGGCTATCAGTCATATTTACCCCCCCCCCTTTTTTTTTTCCAAATTATGGCCGGATCATAAAAGATATGTTCAGTTAAAAAATGATACAAAATGAAATTTTTGCAGCCAATTACGCGTTCCGGTATGGTAGAGTCTTCATTGCTGGACGCGATGAGAAATATATACGCCATAGAGAACTGTGCAAACGTTGCTGTTAAACGTTTATGTGCTGCACTAATTGCCCCAATATTTGCACATGCTCTGAGAAAAGAGTAGTACGAATCGATTATGATGCTATCATCCTTTCACACACAATAACTGTCTTCCATAATTTATCTACAGTATGCGCAAGTTGAAGAGTTTAGTTGGTTTGGTGTTTGAATATTGTCCTGACAAGTTCTGGTGGGTTTGTATTGTTTTTCACTTTAGATACAGCTTTAATACAATTTCCTAGGCTTGGGCTGAACTTGTTGTGCTGATGTGTCATTAAACATCATTTTTATACCTGCTTAAATTCAGAAGAAATATTTATGTAATTAGCTTATGATTTTTAAAATAGGTGTGGAGGGGGTTGGGGTTCAATAACTATCCAGTGCAAATCTAGTGCCATCGTGTTCAAATCCTTATACATGTCAGCTTTTTCTACGTCTTTTCCTTTTTGATGTCAGTTTATGTATGTGTTTATATATGACACAGATGTCTGTGCTATTATTATTATTGACAGCAACATTCTTTACGGTACAAAATAGAGTGAAAGCAGACGATGTGATTATGATTGTTAACGTAGCTTTAACAATTTTTCATTGATATTGCAAGGATGTCTGCAGTGTGGCAGTTTATAGTGATGTCTAGCACTAGGGCATCATGCCGCAGACATGTAGCATGATGTCCCACCCAGTCATATTATCCTAACACCAGACCGACCAGTCATAACACTAACCTCTTAATGCTGAGCGTCAAGCGAGACAGCTGTTAGTATCATTTGGTATGACTCGACTGAGGATCAAACCCACAGCCTTCCGCACCCGATGCGGACGCTCTAACCACTAGGCCACCGGAGCGGTTGAGACGAAGAAGAAAGATAAAAGATTAATAATAGAATAATAGTTTTCACAACTGTAAATGGAGAGAGAGAGAGAGAGAGAGAGAGAGAGAGAGAGAGAGAGAGAGAGAGAGAGAGAGAGAGAGAGAGAGAGAGAGAGAGAGAGACAGACAGACAGACAGACAGACAGACAGACAGACAGAGACACAGAGACAGAGACAGAGAGAAAGAGAGAGAGAGAGAGAAAGAGAGAGAAATGGAGAGTAACATTATACTACTACTACAACTACAACTACTACTACTACTACTACTACTACTAATAATAATAATAATAATAATAATAATAATAATAATAATAATAATAATAATAATAATAATAATAATAATAATAATAATAATAATAATGTTTGTTTATAACACAGAACACTGGCCCTAAGTATCCATAGGTCATGTGGCACAAACTGTGTCTTTGTGTCTAAAAGAACACCGTACCTACTGGAAGTGTTATAAATGCAGTAAATAAGGATTGTATTTTTTTTAATTGAGCGAAATATAAATATATATTACACATTAAACACACAATATAAATTAAAGAAAATCCCGAAGCCTGCATGGAGCAAACATAAGTTTTGTGAAACTGGTCTAGAGTCTTTGTACCAGGAGTTGATGATAAAAATAGCATTTCAATTTCTTAAGGCTTTAAATAGTAAATATTAATACGTTGGTCATCAGCATTTTCGCAGGAGTATTTATACACCAATCATTGTTAAATCCATACGTAAATATAAGTTTTTTTTAAAGCATTGTTATCCCAGGATTCACAATGTAAAGTTGTAAATTGCAAAACTGTTTAGGATGTCTGTCTTCTGGCATGATTTAGAATTCGAAACCAACATTTCAAAAGCGGTAATCTCTTATATTCCGAATAAATATTCTTCCTTATTCGTTATAAATGATTGCATTTGGAGTAGACATAGATATACCAAAAATATAGAGTAGACATATATATACCAAAAATATAGAGTATACATAGATATACCAAAAATATATTTTTATAAAATCACAAATGAACTTTTCATTATCATTGGCATATTGCGAATATATGGTGATAAACTAAGTAAAAGAAATAAGCAAAACCAGTAAGTTTTATTTAACTTAGCAAACAATTTACATATCAATGTTTTTAACTGTAAATTTAATAGGTAATTTCACTATTATGTAGTGAATCCGAAATAATCCTGAAAAAGTCCAAATAATGAAATTTTCCTTATAAATTTTAGTTCCAGAAATGCACTGATTCGTCAATAATCGTTGTTAAAATGGAATTGTCCAGAACTCCTTTGAATAGTTTACGACATTTCCTGAATAACGTTATACTACAAAGAGCACTTTCTATTTCCACTAAATAATCCAAACAAATGTTTTCCTTTTAAATAATATTTAAATACAAAATAAAATGCCAATAAAGACTTGATGCTTCAACTAGAAAAGAAGAAATTAACGACTCCAAAATAGGAATGATTCTGATTGCTCAAAGTCACCAAACAACATCTCCATAATTAGGAATGGTAGACATCCTCGAGTCAGACGAATCAGCTCTGCTACAAGTACTTTGCTCCGTTTTTGGAAGACTTTACCTCAAAACATGCATAGCCATCAATACTTCGAAAGACATTTTTTCTGGCACACATACCAAGATTTCTTTGTACAAGAATATATGCATCGTAGAAACTTGTGATATGATTCAGTCTTAGGGTTACATTATCAATTTCATGGTTTCTGAGATCGCCACTTCTGCGAATAAGTCATTTTTGTTTTTCTTCATATTCACTGTTAATTTTCACCTTAAGCAATATGTATGCAATCTGTTAAGTATATTTTGCAATCGGCGCGCAAGGTCAACAAAGACAATGGAATTATCTATATACAACCTTAAAATAGTTTCATAGTTCTACCACAACTCAGCTGTTTCCGTCAGTTAAGTAGGGTTTCAGATAGTTCGAAAAACAAACAATGAGTAAAGTTATAAAACACAACCTATGCGTGCGTCACAGGACAATTAAACACATCGGTAATAAAATTGTTGGACTTAGCATATGCTATTAAGTCATAATAAATTATTTTAATAATTTTTAACATTTTTCAAGAATACATTTTATAATCAGCTTTTGTTACAGTAAACTTCCTGCTAACCTTTCAAAAGCTTTTTCGTAACATATAACTACTGCATATAATCTGCTCCTCTTTTCTTAAATATTTAGATTACTTATTTTCATTCGCCCATTCATGTATCCTATTATTTACAAATTATGTAAATATTTTGCTTCATACTGGTATGATCTCAGCCGATAGGCTCTCAACTTTTGTCCTCACCTAATCCAAGCCAAAAATATCTCTGATATAAACTTTAATAGATTTTTCTGTATCCTCCCATTTTTCTCCGTGGTTTTCAGGCACGGCATAAAACATTAAATTCTCTCAATGGGAATGGACAGTGTATTGCTCTAGGTTTTGTTAATTCGCCTATAATGGTGTTTCCATTATCCTTATATGTCTCAGTCAGGTCACGTCCCCAGTCTTCAGGTACATGACAATATTCCGACGATGTCAGCAATCAAATTGTATTTTTCATTTTACTTAAGGAGTGTTCAGTAGAAATATTTTTTTTTAAAGTTTCTTTAAGTTTCCCCACATTAAATGTTATTTTAAACATTAGATTTCTTATGCTGGAATCTATTATTTCTTGAGTCTAGGTACGGATCCCATAATTCATAGCTCCTTTTTTCTGTCATCTTATATCTACTCTGCGAAAGGTGAAGGGTGTGTTGTGTTAGTATAGAAACTTGCCAGAAATTAGCTCATCAGATTATCCCGAGAGTTACCCATTCGTGCAAAATAAGGCATTTTGCGAGAATGTCACACATTGCTCGTTAAGCTGATGTGGCCTGATATTTTTGTGACTCCAAGATACCCCAACATAATAATAATAATAATAATAATAATAATAATAATAATAATAATAATAATAATAATAATAATAATAATAATAATAATAATAATAATAATGATAATAATAATAATAATAATAATAATAATAATAATAATAATAATAATAATAATAATAATAATAATAATAATAATAATAATAATAAAAGTAACAAACTTGGTACTGCATATAACCACAAAAAACAATCATGATCATCTATTTTTACTTCCAATATTAAAATAAAATATCATTATTTATATATTAATAATAATTGTAATCATGATGCTTATTATCAATACTGTTATTATTATTATGATTAGTGGTAGCAATAGTAGCAAAAATGGTGGTATTAGTGTTATCTATGTTGAGGCAATAATAATGGTAATAATAATTATAAAATGCAATTTTTTTTAGTAACAATGAGAGAAATAATAATAATAATAATAATAATAATAATAATAATAATAATAATAATAATAATAATAATAATAATAATAATAATAATAATAATGATGATGATAATAAAATGAATTATAAAATTACAGATGGAATAACAGAGATCTAAGCAAAGATACAGAATAGAATAACACGAGTCCAAGCAATATAAACAAAATAAAATCGAGCAAGACGTGTGAATTATTCATTTTCTCTCAGAAATAGAGTTATAAAATTATGCCAAATCCAATTAGCCGTTCATTTATACTGAACAAATTTCATCTTATGGTTGAATGACTGTCGAACTCAATTGCCATGTCTGCATCACCTGGTGCTTCCGGTCTTTTCCAAATCACTGCTGGTGACAAGTCAGTGTTCCCTCTTCACCCTTTTCTTTCTAACCTCCTCCGGTCATCAACCTCTTGGTTTCAGACTGCTCTTTTCTCCCTGTGCAATACAGGTATGGGGCTATTTTCCTATAGAAGCACAAAAAATAAAATAATACCCAGCCTAAATAGTGTCCGGATTTTTCTTCTGCAGGAATCAACTAATATTCTCATTCTTTCTGGGTCAAATATCGCCTATCGAAATTCAAAAGAACTAGCTATGGTCATTTCGAGTCTAATACACATTCACACACTAATTACGTCAATTTATGTCTTGTCTAGCGGGTCTTGCATTCCATCTGCGACCATATTAAAATGAGACCTCTCAGATACTACTACTGCCTCATTGTGGGTATAAATTTACCAGCTAAACTATGCCAGTCGGCATCCGTCCCATGATTCTTTGATAAGGGAATTCACAGCTTAGTTACACAATACTTAATGGACTTCACTAAATGCCACAACTATGTTACTTTGCTAATTAACGGTTCATTGACGTACATTTCCAGACATAAAAATAAGTTCTCAGCATATATGATTTATATTTACATACAAATAACTAAATCCGAACTCATTCAATATAAAGAAATATTATTTGACATACTTCCAATACTTGAATCATAACATGTACGATTATTTCTGAACTCGAGGAAGAACAGAATTATAAAGCTAAAACGAACGAGTTCAACCAATAATTCCAAACATAAATCAGTGAAGACATTTTATTTAATTGATACTAAATTGGTACCTTCCCGAAGACTCGCTCGCTTATCATCAGAGAATTCCCCTGTCTCTTTTCTGGATCCGGGTTTCTCAAATTTCACGAATCCCTGTTCCTTGGACAATTTATTTAACCAGAAGATTACTTTTACTTATCTTGGAGCCCTTCAGAGTTTCCTTGGAAGAAAAACTTGGACGGACTAATATAACGAGGAAGAATATTTTAAAACCATGAATTCCATGGACCCCCCTCCACCTTGTTTAGCTTAGTCAGTCAGGAGTATTTCTTTAACCGCAAATATTTTTGTCACTCCCAAGTTAGAATAATCCTCTCTAAACTTCCTTTATTTATAACTATTCTAGACAAAATCATTTTGAAGTGAAGATGCAAAACTTTGCCTGGACATGAAAAAATGTGCAACATTAGCTTGCAAAGTTACTTGGGTGGTGAAATTCGTTCTATATCTGTTTCCAAAGCAAAGAAGGCAATTA